TGTGCTTCAAAAGTGGGGGGGGGGGGGTCGTCTTGAACATAGTAAATAGCCATAACGTTTGAACGGTAAGTACAAGGGCTTTCGTACTTCAAATATGTAATCCTTGTGAAAAGAACTTTTATTGGATACGACGAACTTTGACCCTTTGACCTGGACCTTGGAGAACACATGTGTACATCTGAATCTTTTTTTCTGTTTCGTTTCTATGGCAACTGTGAGCGACTCATTACAATTATTTTGAAAGTAGAAATCACTTTGACACATTGCAAGGAATAAACATTGAAAGTTTCAAAACGATTGCCTGAGTAGTTATTGAGAAAATCGAAATTAAAGAATTTTAACTCTCACCTGGTTTCCATGGCAATAATCAATTATTTGAAAATTTTAAATGCGTAGTACACAACTACAGATACCTATCCTTAAAATAAGAAAAGTTTCATGACGAGCGTTTAAGGGACCAGAGAGAACACTCTCGGACAAAATTTGTCGCTTTTTACAGGTTTCCATGGCAACGGTAGACATATTGGAACTGAATGACCTCACTGCACAACTACAACCAGTGATCGTCCTTTGAGGAAAGTTTCAGGAAGATTGTCCCAGCCATCTCCGAGAAACAGCCTGGATAAAAAAAACATGCGTACAATATCAATATGTCGTCCCCGACTTCGTTCGGGGCGACATAATAATAGGGAAAAAGAAACCGAACGAAAACAATAAGGTCTTCCGTTGGAGACGGAAGACCTTAATAAGAAACAGAGTAAAAACAATATGTTCCCCAACTTCGTTTGGGGAACATAATAAAAAACAGAGTAAAAACAATATGTTCCCCAACTTCGTTTGGGGAACATAACAAGCAGCTTCTTACCACTTTCATCAGTGCTGGACATAGGTGGGAATGCATGGTGAAATTTATTATACACCCCGCTTGAAAAGTGTTATAATACATGTATATGGTGATCAGGATGTATGTCCGCCTTTGTGATGATAAATTCTGTTTAATGATAAATTCACAGAATCTTTGTGACAAAATGTTATTGTGCACTTCCTACTTTAAATGATCGGAAGCATATTTCGGGTTTCCCATTGCAAAATATTGACACTGCATTTTTTTTTTATTATATTAAAAGGTACCCATCTCTTATCTGCAACTCTTCCATACCACTAAATAAAATTTAATGATACTTTCACAGATTCTTTATTACATAATGCCAATGTGCACCTCTTACTTTACTGCTTGAACTGACATTTATTTCGAGTCTCTCAGAGCAAAACATTGACCATTTGAATTATAAGGCCTACCCCGGGGATCTTGATTTGAACAAGCTTGAATCTACAGATTCTACACTACCTGAGGATGCTTCCACTTGAGTCTCATCTTTCCTGGCCCAGTTGTTCATGAGAAGAAGATTTTTAAAGATTTTCCTATGTTAAACGTTGATACCCCATTGTGACCCCACTCTACCCCTGTGGTAACTGCAGATCTGTAGCTCCCCGAAAAAATATTTTGACAGACCGGAGAGCTACAGAGCCACCCATTGTAAAAACTGTATATTTATTGTGCACAAAAAAGTGCGCTGTTTCTCGATTTATTTCTCCGTGTTTATAAACTGTCATCTCAAAATATTACTAACCGTGTGTTCCTAACATATTCTTTCACTGTTTCCACAACAAAACTTTTCCTTATAATTGTTGTTAATAGCCCATCTGGCCCTGAAATCGAGATCATCGAAAATTTCGTCTATTTATACTGCCATTTTGGTTTGCAAGGTAATTCGGTCCAACGCACTTCGTGCAAATGTCACATACGAAAGGACTTCATAGTACTTCATAGAGTTTTTAGAATCCAGCTAATTTTGCATCTGAGGTAAGAATTTGGAAGAATTAATCCAGAACTAAGCGCACTTTTTGTGCGCAATAGATATACAGTTTTTACAATGGGTGGCACTGTAGCTCTCCGGTCTGTCAATTTTTTTTTTCGGAGAGCTACAAATCTGCAGCTACCCCTGTGGGTCATGATTTGGACAAACTTGCATCTAAACTACCTGAGGATGCTTCCACATGAGTTTCATCTTTTCTGACCCAGTGATTCTTGAGAAGTTTTTTTTAAAAGATGCATTAATTTTTCACTAATTCATAATCATCTCCCCTTGGAAGAGGGCGTGACCCTTCATTTAAACACACTTGAATCCCCTTTACCCAAGCCTTGAAGGATACTTTGTGGCAAGTTTGGTTGAAATTTGCCCAGTGGTTCTGGAGAAGATGAAAATGTGAAAAGTTTACGACGCCGATTAACGACGACAGATAACGGACAAATTTTGATCAGAAAAAGTTCACTTGAAACTTCAGCTGAAGTTAGCTTATAAAAAAATGTCTGAGAAAGGATTGCATGCCCACTCAACTGAAAATATCTTCATTTTTCTTGAATGTATTTTCCCACCCATGTACTGCCAATGTCACATGAACTACTATGTTTTACCCCTTGTCCTTGAAACTTGACTCACATTTCATAAAATTTAACATTAAACCTTGATCAAAACCTTTGAGCGAGAGATTGATTATTACATGTATTGTTTAATTAACGCCAAGTCGGCAATATTTCAGCCGGATATATAGGCGATTGAACGAGAGAAGATATATCAGGAAGATATATAAAGTAATAAAGTTACCTATTAGGGCTGGGCAATAATATCGATATTTCAATATATTGCAATACGATGACAAAAAATATCGTATCGCAATACGATTTTGTAATATCGATATATTGGCAATATGCTTAGATTAAGGAATTTTGTCATTAAATATAAAAATGGACTTATAAAAGTTTGTTATTAAGCCAAACAGTAAGACAGAAGTTGTTTTGTGGGAACATTTCAAAGCATAACTTAAATGAAATCAACAAGATTTTTTTTCCGTGTTGGTAACTTTTCATAGTTATGTACATTCTGCACGTAAATTATAGTAAATATAGGAAGAAAATGCCATTTTTATTACATTGAAAATATTGCAATACATATCGCAATACAGTTAAAAATATCGCAATATATCGCAATACGAAATCTTGGGCCAATACCCAGCCCTATTACCTATCGACATTAAGTAACCAGTTATCCATCTTCGCTAGCCAAGGGTTTCCGATCCGAAATCTAAGAGTAGATTTCGGATCGGAAACCATTGGCTAGCGAGGATGCCAGTTATCAAGAGTCCGGAAATTGATATTTCTTATCTCTCAGATTTTTTATTCTACTGATCGCCTTTTTATCTCATAGATCGATCGAACTCTTGCACCTGCACGGATACAAGTTCCAATTTTGCTTAAATCATCAGGTATTTTCCATTATATTTTACAATAACTTTATTGCTAGTCATGGCCACAAGAGTTATTATTGTAAAATTAAAAATTTATATCAAAATTTATTATCAATTGAATGAATCTGTAAATATCATACTAATCAGTCTTTTCGAAATCGAAAGTAGAAGATTGAAATGTTTTCAAAAATTCTCCAGTGATTAAAAAAAAAAAAATAACGGTAAAAATTTGAAACAGGGGGTCGTCGTTAACTTCCAAATCTTCTTCATACCTATGACTTTTCATACCAACTTGACCATATCCAATTTTTTTTCGGGGGGGGGGGGATCTGCCTTTTCGTGGGGGGGGGGGGTCCAAGGTCACTTTTTACTTGGTTAAGTATATAAATTTAATAACTCTGCTAATTCCAGAGGGGGGGGGTCCGGACATCCCCCTCTAGATCCGCGCATGCATTAATCATAGGTCAAAGTAGCCCTCGGATGCTTTTTGCAATTTTAGTTTTAATAAGCTCAGTAATTCTTGAGAACGAGTCGAAAATGTGAAAAGTTTACAAACGGACGGATATACTGGACAACAAATATGATCAGAAAATTAGCTAGAAACCTTTATCTCTTTTTATTGATCCTTACACAAGTTTACCTTCTAAGGAACCAGGCAATGTTTGGAAAATCATTAATTTGAAAGACTCACTTTTTAGTTTTGTTCAATAATCTCCTGAAAATCAAGATATAACCATGGGACAGAAACTTTTTCACAAGTTTAAAGACATGGGACAAATATTTTTTTTCAATACGAATGCCACGGCAGGGCCTCGAATTTTTCATATCGAGAATTTTGTTTTGTACTTGTCCCATCATTGTGATAAATTTTGCCGTGTCCCTAAGGATTTCATATACTCGTACAATAACAATAACATTTATTTTATTTAATTTAAAATACTTTTATGTTACAGTTTGTGAGAATGGAAAATAATGAAGTCATTCTATTAAATGTCGGTGGTTTTATTTATTACACCACAAGGGCAACCCTTGTCAAGTATCCAAATTCAACGTTGGGATTGATGATGAATGGAGATACCCCAATCAGTAGAGATCAAAATGGGATATTCATTGACCGAGACGGACAAATGTTTAGATACATACTGAATTTTTGTAGGTCTGGAAAACTTTGCCTACCACAACAATTTTCTGATTATGATTTACTGGAAAATGAGGCCGAATTTTACCAAATTGAACCCTTGGTAACTAGTATCAAATCTTCCCGACAACAAGCAATGAAAGAAAACCAAGGATTCAATTATATAGAAATCGTGGAAGAGAAATCTTATTCAATTCCACAGTCTAGAAACTTTGTAGTTTCTTCCAAAAATGCTTTTCCAAGTACGTGTAGTACTTCCGTATATGGGAGGATTGATGATCTAACAGCATTGCCTCCAGAATGTGTTTATATATCTGGAGATTTGCAAACGGACCTTGTCTCAAATTACGGTAAACTGACAATCGAAAAAGGTGATGTGAGATTACAGATAGGCGAGTTTCTCAGCAAACGAGGATGGGTTAAAGAATACGGTGATTCATATTCATCAACAAACGTCAGACCAACAAACGAAATTGTCAAGGAACAAACCTACAGGGATGTTTGGAAAATATGCAAGAAAAAATGATTAAATATACATGTATATGAGGGGGACTACTAAAAAATCACATATTTTCGAGGGGTCAATTTTTTGTTGTTTTAATAAAATAAAATTGGGGATTTTATTTCGTGGTTAAAGATTTGTTCAGTAGTGATATATGTGAAAAATTGTATTTCGTGATGGACATAAATTCGAGGGTCTCTTCAGACCTTGAAAACACGAAAATTAACCCCCACAAAAATTAGTGATTTCACAGTATAATTCAGGAATAATTCTAATTATTATTAAATAAAATATCACATGTACGGGAAGACATCAATAAGATGACTAATAAATTAATGTGTAAAAGTGTTTAATTTTAAATAAACTTTTTACAAATAAATATGCTTATATCAGACTGTTTTGTTTTAAAAATATGTTAAAGCAAGATGTTCTCTAATAGAGACTCTATTTTATCATTCGAACATTTATTTGTCCATTAAGAATTGTTTGAACATATTTTATTGTATAAATACTATATATACAAATGGATTGAAAACAAGATCTAACAACTTACGAGGTTCTCACCATAAAATGCTACTGCCAATATCTATACATTGTACATGGAAAGAAAAAAAAACCATTGATATAAACACATGTTTGTTTAAAACATACATTAATAATTACATATGTTTTGCATTGACACTTTATGTATTTCTAGTGGTATAAGGTTATGTTTGGAAAAAAGAGGGGACAGTCCCCTCCCCCTCCGATTCTTCGTGCTGGACTAACTGGTAAAGGTGAACACTTTTCATCGACTGTATGGACACTGTCCCCTGCTACGTGCTGGACTGACTGGTAAAGGAGAACGCTTTTCACCAACTGTATGGACACTGTGTGTGTATATATACTCAACAAAAAAAGAAACGCATATTGTTTAACTCGTCAAAGAAATTTTTAAAATGTACATGAAACAACTATTTTTTATATCATTGGATACCTGTGACCTATTTAAAAGACAACATGAGGTTTTAAAACCCAAGTGTTGAATTATCTCCCTTGATTAAACATGTTTATGAAAGTTGTGGTTTTCATGATTTCTTCTAAATCGGATGTTTATTTTCGTTGATATTTGGGATTTAGAGAAACTTTTAACACTCCTATTAAACCCATATTTAAGATTTGATTGCAGTGTTGATACTGCAATGCCACGCCGAAACAAAGATGAACACAACCAGGCTAACGATGATACTAAACGGAGCTACGCAACAGGAAGTTGCAACTGTTTTTGAAATAAATCAATGGGCTTAGCATCCGTTAAACATACGTCTGAAGACCACTATCTGGCCATCCGCAGGTAACCAAAACAAGGCAGGACCGTCAGACCCCCCCCCCACTTCAGCACCTCATGCGATTCAGAACCTGTTGTAAAAACTGCTGCTACAATTGTTGGATGAAAAAAATCAGTGTAAAAGTGCATAAATTGTTCGCAAGAGACTGAAATGAGATGGTATTCCTCCACGATATCCGTACATTGCAAACCCACTAGCATTGAGACATTCGCACGGTACATATTATTATGCCCCTTGAATTTGGGGGCGATGAAAATGACATCAACTTGACTTTTCAATTTGCAACAAAGGACATGTTTGATTTTTATCACAACACACTTTAAAATCGCTTAAATAAAATAGGGTTTGAACTGAAAACTTAGATTTTCATATTATTCTGATTATGCGTTTCTTTCTTTTCATTCAGTCCTTACAATGGTTACGGAAGCATTGAGATTTTTATTTTTCTGGCGTTTGGTGTTTTATACCGTATGGACCTGTCATTCAGAATGCAAGGAAACAATAAACGTTAAGCTAACATTTGAGTGATTCTTTTACATTATATATAGTTACTTATACAAACATAAGTTTTATAATGACTGTAGCATTTGTTCTTAGGAGAAAATATTGTGTGTGTTATGGTGTATTGAGGGAGGGAGAGGAGGAGGGTGTGTGTGAGTGTGTGTGTGTGTGTGTGTGTGGAATTGACATCCTTTAGGACTTCATTCAGGAAATAATTGTGTGGTTACAAATCAATTGCTCAAACATTTTTGAATACTTGAATCCAAAATGTTTCAAAGAGACGCATTTTCATGAGCAACTTTTACATATTATTGCTTTCAAAATTTAATACTATCACCTTACACTATAATAAATTTCGAAAAATCACAATGCCAAACTATTTATGATGATAACCTGATAATTTATTCCTTACTTTGATTCACTCAGCTCTCATGTAATAGTAAGTGAATGTCCAACGACCAACGTTATAAACTTATAATTGTTCGTTTATCCTAACCTTTTAAACCACTAGCAAAACATGAATACCTTGTTGCGATATATTTCAAATCATAAATACTCAAAAAAGTCTAACTCCCCCTTTTTTTAAAGATCGTATCTTAAAATCTTCAGAATAAGTTACATTTAATAATTATCTGGAAGAGGACGACAACTGTAAGAATTCTGTTCACTATTCCGGAAAGTACTTAAATGTGTTGTCTTTTGTCCCCCGCTTTCGCGAAAGCGAGGGGACATTAAATCTCATTCGTCTGTCTGTCTGTCCGTCTGTCCGTCAGTCCGTCAGTCTGTCAGTCTGTCCGTCACAAAAACTTTAACCTTGCCCATAACTTTTGATTTAGTGGAGCTATGACTTTCATATTTCACATGTGTATTCCTTGTGACAAGACCTTTCTTTGGGTACCACCAAATTTGACCTTTTGACCTTGACCTTGGAGTTTGACCCACTTTTACACGAAAATTCCAACATATTACTTTGGCCATAACTTTTGAATAGTAGGTACTAGGACTTTCATATTTCACATAATTATTGTATGTAGCAAGACCTTTCATTGGATAACAACAACCTTGACCTTTTGACCTTGACCTTGGAGATTTATGTACTTATGAAAAAACTTTAACCTTGACCATATCTTTTGAACGGTGAGGACAAAGGCTTTCGTATTTCACTAGGTAATACTTGTGAGAAGACCTTTCATTGGATACCAACAACTTTGACCCTTTGACCTTTACCTTGGATTTTTAACAACTTTCAAAAAACTTTAACCTTGGTCACAACTTTTAAACAGTAGATACTAGGACTTTTATATTTCACATATGTATTTCTCGTTGCAGGATATTTCATTGGATACAAACAACCTTGACCTTTTGACCTTGACCTTTGAGATTTACGTACTTATAAAAAAAACTTTAACCTTGACCATAACTTTTGAACAGTGAGGGCTAGGGCTCTCATACTTCACATATGTAATCCTTTTGAGACGACCTTTCATTCGATACCAACAACTTTTACCCTTTGACCTTGACATTGGAGTTTTAACTACTTTTTAAAAAAACTTTAACTTCGGTCATAACTTTTGAACAGTAGATACTAGGACTTTTTTATTTCACATATGTATTCTTTGTAGTAAGTCCTTTCATTGGATATCAACAATTTTGACCTTGACCTTCAAGATTTGCGTACATATACTTATGAAAAAAAACTTTAAACTTGACCATAACTTTTGAACAGTAAGGGCTAGGGCTTTCGTACTTCACATATATAATCCTTGTGAGAAAACCTTTCATTTGATATCAACAACTTTGACCCGTTGATCTTGAACTTGTAGTTGACCTACTTTAAAAAAAATATTTTACTTTGGCCATTACTTTTTAACGGTCAGGATTAGGGTTTTCATCCTTAAAAAAAATCAACTTCAGTGTTACTTTCTAAATAAATGACATATGATAGTATGTTCATATTACACACAATATGTCATAAAAAATAACATCTCGCCCACAAAGACATCGAAAGCGGGGGACCACAATTCTTTGAATTTGCTTGTTTACCTCGATAAAGAAGAATTAGATCTTTAGGATTTCAACTTGACAAGTCAATTGTAACACAATATTTATATGTTTTTTCTCTCCTAGATTTCAAGTGTTATACGTTGAAAATTGATGATTCGGAAGAGAGAGAGAGAGAGAGACCAGACAGAAAGAGCTACATTTATCAAATGGTTGAAATCGTATGTAGGTTTAATCTCAAATATAATAATAAATGCATGTGTTATTGTCCCCCGCTTTCGCAAAAGCGAGGGGACATCAAATCTCATTCGTCTGTCTTTCCGTCTAGCTGTCCGTCCGTCACAAAAACTTTAACCTTGCCCATAACTTTTAATTTAAATGAGCTATGACTTTCATATTTCACATGATGATCATGTGTATTCCTTGTGACAAGACCTTTCTTTGGGTACTTCCAAATTTGACCATCTGACCTTGGAGTTTGACCCACTTTTACACATTTTTTTTTACTTTGGCCATAACTTTTGAACGGTAGATACTCAAACTTTTATGTTTCACATATGAATTTTTAGTGGCAAGACCTTTCATTGGATATCAACAACTTTGACCTTGGAGATTTCCGTACTTATGAAAAAACTTTAACCATGGCCATAGCTTTAAAACGGTAAGGTCTAGGGCTTTCATATACTTCACATATTAATCCTTGTGAGAAGTCCTTTCATTGGATAACAAAAACTTTGACCCTCTGACCTTGACCTTGGAGTTTGGCCTACTTTTTAAAAAACCAAACCTTGACCATTACTATTGAAAGGATAGGGCTAGGGCTTTCAGACTTGACAGTATATAATCCCTGTGACAAGACCTTTCACTGGATAAGACCGCGGAACATTAACTGGCAAGATTGGAAATATACAGCTTACGTCATTTCTATCAGTTACAATCAAAACATTCAATGACAGATGATGAAATGGGCGGGTACATTTCGACGCGGACGCGGGGAAAACATTGGATTGAAATTCTAGTTTGAAATTCATTTTCAATCCACCTGAGCTGTTTTCAGAAGCAAAGTGTGAATGTATGATCAAAAAAGACAAATAATTTCAATTCCCAATTACATGTTGATTAAAATTTATATTATACTGAGTTTATAGCCTATAATATATTTTTAATGACACATATTCTAGAAAGGGTGGGGTTCAACATTTGTCGAGTCAGATCATGCATTGTACCAAATAATTT